CGAAACACAGACAACGCGTGGTTCGGACCCCAACGGCCGAGACGTCCGCGCAGTCGGAGTCCAGTTCTGCCCAACGGGTTAATGGGAAAGCCGTCTCTGACCTCGTAGTGGCTGTGATGACTGCGGCGGTCGACCGCGCCGTCCAATTGGTTCCATTTGGGCTCAAAGTGCGGACAACTGCGGGACGAGAGTCAGAGACAGCGATAGACACGACAGACGAGAGGAAAGTACCCGACGAGAGGCGGATCCGCCCAACTCTTGCCCGTGAAGTCGAGTTCGAAGGCCGTCGGCGAGTATTGGGTCCACAGGACGGTCCATAGCCGCCGCTCGTGGGGAACGAGTGTCCGGCGCACCGATTGGTAGTAATCTGAAGACAGGAAAAGCGGTCATTGAATGCGTGGACACAAGAGAGCGCGCAATGACTCACTCGCCATATGTTGTGCTTTGCGAACGCTTTTTCAGTGCATCGCTTGTGTGCACTGCAGTGCAGAGTGATTGGAGGGGCAAAGAGAGCACACTTTCAGAGCTCTCTCTCTCCTGAAGGCATTTGTCTTTCATTTGTAATTCAAATCAATGGCTGTGTATCTGATTAATGGCGTAATGAATGTGTTATTGGTTTGGCAAACATCGGGTGATTGGGAGCACAAACACTAATAGGAAAGACAAACGCAACGCAATCAGACCCTCTTCTTCTCCTTCCCTGCTTTGCCTGCTTTTAGCGCTCTTACACTGTCTTTGGCCGACAAAGTGGCCATTTGTCACTCGACGCGCCGCCAAATGCATCCAAATGTGAGACAATTAGAGGACAAAGCGATGGCATCTAATGGTCTCTTCTCGCGCTCCGATGACTGCCTAATGATTTGCGACAAAACATCCAAATATTCAATGCTTTTATCTTTCAATTAAAGTCACTTTCAATGCCTTTCTCTTCAACTTTAAAACTCTTTCTTCTCGACAAATATTTACACAATAATTGCCTTCATATCCAACGAAGCGCTCAATAATAAAGCGAATTTGCATTCATTTGTCATCCCTTTCCTCCGCGCGCTCTCTCTCTCTCTCTCTCTTTCTCTCTCTCTATTAAAAGGTTTCAATTTGAGAGTAATTTACAAATAATGCCAAAGCTTTTTGCGACGACAAGAGAGAGAGAGAGAGAGAGAGAGAGAGAGAGAG